TTCTTGTTCTTCTTGCTCTTGTTCTTTTTCTTTTTTCTACTTCTGCTGTTGTTGAAGCTGTTCTTTGTCTTTGTGCCTCAGAGGTTAATTTTATTTTGCTATGTTTTTTTTTTCAGATGAAGAAGAAATTAACAATCATCCCAGCATTCCAGAAGGTATTTGGGCAATGCTTTCTTTTAATGTTCTTGCTGTTTTACAAATTTTCTTCTTCCCTAGAAGACTACATACATATGCAGGGCTAGTTTGTAATCGTACATACATATTATTAAAACGTTTCATGTACAATTTTTTATTTCTTGTACATATATMATTTATTGCAAGCAATAACAACCAATTCAGCCGTGAATGTTTAAGTTTTGTAAATCTATCTCATCTAGTTACAGTTAATAACATTTCTTTAATTAGAAATAAAAGACGAAGTTCAAGATGCATTGAAAAGACGTGTTCCACGATTAAGTGCACGATGTTGCGTCGTCCTGAAACGATATGGATTCTGCAAGAACAGAATTATTCGCAGATTGTGTGCTCCTCAATGCAGTTAGTATTTTTTATTTTGTACTGTTCATATTATTGTTACATTCGTTCTTGGATCATCAGTATGATGTGTTGGACCACAGAGCAGACTCTCTCTATAGTTTCTGAGCAAATAGAGAATTTTGGGCGTTTCGACCACACACACTATACAAAGCCAGTTTCAATCGCTTTCATCGCATTCAGTTTCGATCCAGCTAAGATCATGCCAAACCGGCGCATATTCTAATTAATAATAAACATTTTTCTCAAACGTAAACATTGAAGTTTTACTTTCTAATGCCGCTGGAAAAAAAAGTTAACAACAGCAATTTCGGCTCCTAGAAAATTAAAAACATACAGAAAATAGATGTAAAAAGCGAGTTTGGTTTGCCAGTTTATTAAATAAGCAGCTAAGTGCGTTAGTCAGCCAGAAATGAAAAAAAAAAAAAAAACTCAAAGAAAATAAAGATAACTGAGAGAGATTTAAGATCTCCGGTAAACATAATGTCTTTATATAGCACTTCCCATTTGTCTGTACTTCTTGTAGTTCTTCCTTACTACTGTTGTCCCATTCATTTCTTTTCTAACTTTATTTTTTCTTCCTTGTCACTGTTGCCCATTCATTTCTTTTCTAACTTTATTTTTTCTTCCTTACTACTGTTGCCCATTCTAATCCAGGACCACCACCGTGTAAGAATCTCATTTCACCCAGAAGTTGTCTTCTGGTGAGAAACAAATACAAGAGGTGCCGCCTTCACATTGGCCGCGTCTACTGTCGTCGTACCTGTGGATACTGTCGTCCCGTAAAACGTAAGTGCAAATAATACTGAGTCCCACCTAACAAATTTAAATGACTAAAACATATATGTAGTTGTCTCTAGCCTAGTATTTTATTCAGACGTTTCGATCTGCTCTCAGATCTTCTTCAGTGCAAAAAAATGAATTCCGTTACAATTGTTTGCGCGCGTATATTTAAGAAATATAAAACGGCGCCCGTGTCTCTGTCCTCTGATATAAACACGGTGGGAGTTCGAAAAACACGAGAGAAGCAAGCTTAGGAACACGAGCGTAGCGAGTGTTTCTCTTGCTTCTCGAGTGTTTTTCAACTCCCACCGTGTTTATATCAGASGACAAAGACACAAGCAGCCGTTTTATATTTCTTTTATAAAATCTTTCGAGCGAAAAGAACATTATGCCGGTAAGCCGTGTCTCTGTCCTCTGATTAAACATGGTCGCCAGCCAATCAGAGCGCGCGTTATATATCAAAAATTTTATAAAGTAAAATATAGCGTGCGCGGAGCTTCAAGAGTTAACATGCGCGCGCGTAATAAGTGTTCTATAGACATCTGGAATGGCTATTCTATAATTTGACGAAGTAGTGTCACACTCAGAGTGCCAAGCTTCAAGAAATAAATTGAAATGACAACTGAGCTTTTAAAGGGCTACTTGGACGAAAATTGCGAAACATTAGAAAAGACTTGGAAATCAAATAGACCTATCCATATGGATCTAATAATCATGAAGCAACAAATTTCAAGAAAATATTCATGCAAATCCTTAATAATTTGGGCAAAAAATGTTGGAGTAGATGACGTCATCTACTCAATCCTTTTGTTCTTCCATCTTTTGAATCAAAATTTCTCTGATGTGGGATAATTCCAAGACAAATATTTTCCCGCAATTGTTTTCAATAGATATAAATGAGTCATATATTTGTATTGCTTGAAGTTTTGAAATAAGGCCATTTTCATGCAAATAGCACTTTAAGAATACATGATAAGTTGGTCAGTAATGCCATAAAACGGTTTTRTTTTGCTTTGGCTTTACTGTTTTGGTTTRGTTTAGAGAAATAATTAAACAACRTCAAAGCGATATCTGATTTAACTCTCAAGGAATCTAAAGGCCTACTAGCGGCCCTAAATTTGCTTAAATTYGCATACAAAATCGAAGACCTCACAAGATTAAAATATATGCAAGACGATGAGATGGGAAGCACCGGATTCTGTCGTGTTTATTTTTCAAAACGATGAGTTTCCTGCGTTCGCAATGACATTAAAGCAATTCTAGTTAACAGTTAAAGCAAAAACAAGAAAATGAAAATAAATGATACCAATACCAATRATGCTCTTCTAATGTCTCTGTATTTATATATCTATAGCAAAATGGGTGACTCRCACTCCATTTTGGTGTGGCRCTAAAAACCGCACGCTTATCAAGTACAGAGTCACATTGAAGAAGTGTCAAGAACTATGCTTGAAAAGGCGTGGCTGCAAGGCTGTCGAATGGTGGGGAAAATACAACTTCGCCTGCTTCCATTGTCACAACCCCAAACTGATGAAGCCGTACAMTAACAAGAAAGATCTGGCATATCCACCACATGTATCAGTATACACTAAGTAGCGTGAAACAAATGTTGAATGGGCACTAGAGTTCTCGCACTTAAAACGTGAAAAAAGTAGTACAAATAGTACTAATTACTGCTAGATAGTGTTGATTATACAAAAGGAAACAAAGGAATTTGTATAATTTATCACCTTTTTTGTAGTATTTATATTTTAAAAACTAATGGTTGATATTTTTATGTTCTTTTTTTTTTCAATCGCGAATTGCATTTTTTAAACTTGTATTTACTCTAGAACCTAGTGCAAGTTATTTTTTTCTTTTGTACTCAGTGCTCCTCTGTTAGAACATAGCTAATTGACGCTTGGAAAAGTTCATTCCAAGGCGGGTCTTTTGAAATATACATCGTAATGTTAAATTAAAGCATGCAATAAATCTTAATTGTTACGTACCATACTTGTGTGATTTCTCGCACKCTGATTGGCTGATTAAAGTGTGTCAATAAGGGGGTATGAATTCAAAGCGAATAACCGCTGCTTTATTTGACAGCAGGTTCTCTTGCGCAAAGACCTTACCAAATACAAAAAAAGCACGTGAATATGTTGTAAGTACAATAGCTCTAACAATTTACATTTTCCCCGAGTTGAGGCTATAAACCTGTATTTCCAGAAGTCTTTAACCTTAGGGAGTTTATGGAACTGAATACAGGGCTAGTCTCARYTCGGGGAAAATGTAAAATCTCAATTCTATTTGTAATAAAGACATTAACTCGTGCTCTCATCTCTACGAGCAAGATACTTGCCAAATAAAGTTTTTACCTCGAAAATAGAGCAATGCGTTCTAATAATTTTTATTAATTGGATAATGCAAAATAATAACAACCACAACRGCAAAGGAAATTAGAAATAAAAACGAATCAAAACTTCAAACACARTATTTAGTCTAAGGCGCATTAAACGTGTAATACCTTTTTTTTGACTTCACCTTATTGTTCTGTGAAACTGATAGGAAATCATATGTAAAATTAAATTAAAATTTCAAACAAAATGTATTTTGGGAAGAAGTAATGTATTCTTTGTGCATTGGACCTGACACCCCTGTAGAGAAGCACTTAAGCCTTAGTGCTTTTAAAATTGGATCAATCATGCTTATAAAAATAGTGTTATAACACTATTTTTTGCACGAACATCTTTACAAAACTTGAAATGGTTCTTAAATCACAAATTTTAGTCGTTAGTTTCATCAAATCTTTAGATTTTTAGAACACATTTTGATCTTCAAGTCGTGGGGAGTGTGGGAGTTTAGATGTCGTGCAAGAATGTGAACGGAAAAAGAAAAAGTTTTATAAGCGCTTTATAAGCTTAGATTATTATTATTATTATTATTAATGATCAGGAACAAGTTATGTGTTTTTAATTAATGAATTCCATTTATCAGCTTTTTCACAAAATATTTCGTAAAAAGTTAAGAAAAGTATATGTTGCTTTTGCGCTCTTTTTACATGTGATTGTAGTGAAAATATAATGGAGGTTTAAATAAAGATTTTTAAAGCGCTACTGGATATGAGGATCATTGATAATATGCGTGTTTNCTTTTGTACTCAGTGCTCCTCTGTTAGAACATAGCTAATTGACGCTTGGAAAAGTTCATTCCAAGGCGGGTCTTTTGAAATATACATCGTAATGTTAAATTAAAGCATGCAATAAATCTTAATTGTTACGTACCATACTTGTGTGATTTCTCGCACKCTGATTGGCTGATTAAAGTGTGTCAATAAGGGGGTATGAATTCAAAGCGAATAACCGCTGCTTTATTTGACAGCAGGTTCTCTTGCGCAAAGACCTTACCAAATACAAAAAAAGCACGTGAATATGTTGTAAGTACAATAGCTCTAACAATTTACATTTTCCCCGAGTTGAGGCTATAAACCTGTATTTCCAGAAGTCTTTAACCTTAGGGAGTTTATGGAACTGAATACAGGGCTAGTCTCARYTCGGGGAAAATGTAAAATCTCAATTCTATTTGTAATAAAGACATTAACTCGTGCTCTCATCTCTACGAGCAAGATACTTGCCAAATAAAGTTTTTACCTCGAAAATAGAGCAATGCGTTCTAATAATTTTTATTAATTGGATAATGCAAAATAATAACAACCACAACRGCAAAGGAAATTAGAAATAAAAACGAATCAAAACTTCAAACACARTATTTAGTCTAAGGCGCATTAAACGTGTAATACCTTTTTTTTGACTTCACCTTATTGTTCTGTGAAACTGATAGGAAATCATATGTAAAATTAAATTAAAATTTCAAACAAAATGTATTTTGGGAAGAAGTAATGTATTCTTTGTGCATTGGACCTGACACCCCTGTAGAGAAGCACTTAAGCCTTAGTGCTTTTAAAATTGGATCAATCATGCTTATAAAAATAGTGTTATAACACTATTTTTTGCACGAACATCTTTACAAAACTTGAAATGGTTCTTAAATCACAAATTTTAGTCGTTAGTTTCATCAAATCTTTAGATTTTTAGAACACATTTTGATCTTCAAGTCGTGGGGAGTGTGGGAGTTTAGATGTCGTGCAAGAATGTGAACGGAAAAAGAAAAAGTTTTATAAGCGCTTTATAAGCTTAGATTATTATTATTATTATTATTAATGATCAGGAACAAGTTATGTGTTTTTAATTAATGAATTCCATTTATCAGCTTTTTCACAAAATATTTCGTAAAAAGTTAAGAAAAGTATATGTTGCTTTTGCGCTCTTTTTACATGTGATTGTAGTGAAAATATAATGGAGGTTTAAATAAAGATTTTTAAAGCGCTACTGGATATGAGGATCATTGATAATATGCGTGTTTGAATGGCAGCACGGAACAAAAAAGTATTTCAAAGCTATGGAAAACACCTCTTGTTCTATAAATTACCGCTCTAGCACAACTAGTATGTGTTAAGTTAGAACAAATAAGAAAAATACTCGAAAAAGAAAAGCAGTTGAGGCTGTTGATAGTTTTGGTTGCCAACTAAGTAGCTCACGCATCCATTAGGACAAAAGAAGGGTTCGTATACATTTAAAGGACACGTTACACCGGTAACGCTTTTGAACTTTTGTTTGAAGTTGAAAACAAAAATTCATCGTAATTTGAGCAAAATGTTACTCTTTAATTCTCCTTGATGCTAAATGTAATCTTCAAAACGGACTGTGAATGGATATTTGGAGTCAACGTATTTTTTAAATAAAAAAATCTAAGACATGCCTTGAATGCTATTGCTATAACCTTCATAATTCAAGCTATATCAAGAATAACAAAATCTTCTTCTGTACTTTTTAATGACTTCTAAACCAAACAGTTAAATGGAATAGAGAATCAGAACTGATATAAATTGTTCCGTGCACCTAATGAAAAGATTAGGTCTTTTATTATGCATAATTGAACTATATATTGACACAGTTCCAACCCCTCTGACGTATGAATGATTCATCTAAGCATATAAAAATAACAGTTAATAGGGATGTAGCATTTCTGTCCGATTATCAAAAACGTCAGTCGATAACTGCGCCATGAAGCGTTCATTGATTGCTGCTTTGTTGCTCACATCTCTGGTGGCCGTGCATTCCTTTGCAGAGGAAGAAGTTGTACTGGGATTCATTCAAAGTAAGGTGGAGAAGGAGATATTCAACATACATTACTTTTAATTAAAAGTTTAATTTTCATTGATTTTTTTTCTTCATTGAGATAACAGCGGAGGAGGTAGATGTCAACTCTGAAATATTTTATCAAAATGATCGTTTTAGGGAGGGAAAAAAAAACAAGCAACTTTTTGTAAGAAAACTGGTTTAGATATGTGCAGAAGTACATATTGTACTTGCTGATATTGGTCAAAATTCTGATTAATTTCTTCATATATTTATGAAATTGTTCATCATATCTACTATATTTTTTTTTGACGCCGTAAAGAAGAGAGACGCACGGATTTTAATGAATTTCCGATGATCTAAGCTGAAGATATTGATAATGTGAGAATAGTAGAAGATAATGAAAATCAGAACTAATTTTTTGAGACCAGCTTCAAGTAAATTAATGCTTTTGAAAATACATACAATATATCTCTTTTTAGGAGGTATCAATAGTTTTAGAGTGGTTCTCATTAACCCGTGAAATACATTTTAGCGTATTACACTTTATTACACTTTGTCTCTTTTGTTTTCTATTATATTTCTTGGCTATTACACTTTATTACACTTTGACTATTACACTTTGTTTCRCGGGTTAATGAGAACCACTCTATTGCTATCGAATCCTTTGTTGTGCAAGGCTCTATTGCACTTACTTAATTCAGCATCCATTAAAATCCTTAGCAAAATAAAAAAAAAAAACGATTATCTTTCATTGCGCATAATCACTGAAGTTGCAATGCTTTTTTCTTTAGATGCACCAGTTGTCAACGGTGCTGTAGAGCAAGAACATGAAGGTATAGTCATGATTATGAAAATTAAGGATTGAAAAAATTGCGCACAGTTCGGAGTCCTTTAGGCTGACACACTCTTGAAGTCATAAATTCAAAGTAACCCTTTTTGAGTGTTCTCACAACAATTCCAAGTATTTTTTTTTTTCATGTTTATCATAGGGCAAACGCATGAAAACCATAAAATAAATTAAAGTAAATACTAACAAACAGCGGTCATTTAGAGACAAATTRTCAGTATCAATGAACCAGAACACAATCAAGATGAATTATATTAAAAATGGTCCCATGTGGATTTATCTTCATTGTGTTGTGGTTCATGTATACTGACAAGTTGTCTCTATTCTCTATTTGTTAGTTTTTAGTTTGATTTTAATTATTTCATGGTTTTCCTGCCTTTGCTTTATAGATTACATACATACAAAAAAAAGTATTTCTCAGAAAGATGGAAATACGGAAAACAGTTCTAACGCATTTAAAAAAWTCAACTCCTYGGTAGAAATCCGTATTTCTATGCTCTCTTCTGCTCTCTGTGAAAAGGCGGGTTATGTAATAGTTATTTTGTAAATCCTTTAGATTCCGCTGATCAAACAATCKACGGTGTTGCTGAAAATGATGAAGGTATCTACTTGAGCTTTGGAAAGTTGACCAATTTACAAATTATTCCATTTACAGACAAAATGTCCTTTTATAAACTTTTTAAATTAATTTTACAAGATACACCTACTTGCCGAAACGTTGTCATAGAAAATGAAACATTTGAATTTAGTAAAAAGGAATTAATTAAAACAAGACAAAAGAGAGCGTTCAGCCTCAGTGATCTTCTTTTGTCTTGTTTTAATTTATTCCTTTTTAACTCGGAGATTGCGTTAGCAATCGTAGAGTTATTGGGAGGGGACAAGCTGTCACTCGCTCGATCGCTCGCTCGCTCGCTCGATCACTTTCCTGTAAATTTGAGCCTGCGATGTTTTAGTCAGCAGTTATTC